CCAGGCTTGACTCTGGTCATAATCCACACCGTCATGCTCTTCTTATCGATGTTTTCTTAATGGACTCATTAAACTTTGCCGTTTCTTGCTAGCTAAGTGTTGGCTTACACGTACACTCAGCGGGCGATCAGTCTCTCATATTTGGAGTTAAAGGCTCTCTTATTAAGTACAAGCTTTCTTACCCGGCTCCGCTCGGCCCTGTCTAAACACTGTAATAAAGGTCCCATCCTTATCCCTGTACAGCCTTTCCCTGTGCCCATTTCTACACTTCATTTCCCGTTCACTGTGTTGTTTTCGAAATCAGCATGCCCACTCACCCCCTTGCGCCAACTCCCAGCCCTTCAGTTCAAATTTTGCAAAAATCGATAAAATCGATGAAATTAATAAGTAATACCAAAAACTAATACTGTATTCGTAATCAGCATGCTCGATTACCCCCCTGTGCGAACTCCCAGCCCTGTAGCTCAAATTTTGCAAAAAATCGATAAAATTGATAAAAGTTTTTCATATTTCGTAAATCGTAATTTGCATTGACAGTGCAGGTTGAGGAAGGGTCTTTTTTTCTCTTCCCGCCTCTCAAGGTTTGGGGAAAAGGTTATCATCAAAGTCACTCACCCAATTTTCTTTTCCGTTGTTTCGTGACTTTTTCTTTGGAAAAGATTCAAGACTTACAAGCTTATGGAAAAGCTAAGCTTACTAAATTGTTCAGCTGTAAAACCATCTTTTTTTTTAAAAATTACTTTTCGCCAAAGTTACTGTGTGATATATTGCTCTCGAGATTATTTTGAATTGATGTTATAATGTCACAGAAGCTGAAAGCAATCCAAAAGTGTTTGATGGGGTCGACATTTCGTATACTATCCATGGTAATTCTTTTATGCTAATCTTCATGTTAGAAAATTACTAACAAGGAAAGGATACTTGGTGACCGTGGCCTTTTGAAATGAAACCTACACCATTGAATGCATCTTGAAGCGCTGTTTGCAAGTCTGTTTCCACTATCTGCTGTGCGCTCTTCCCAAAGAAGTCTTGAACATTTCTTGTCACCAAAATCTGCACTGTTTTTGATGCTGGATTCACCAATATCGTTAGAATGTTCGCTTATGCACTATAAAAGAGAGTACAGATAAAGTAAAGCTTTACGTTAAGCTCAGGAAGACTGTCACCGATTCATCAGAGCCTAAAAAGCCTAGATACTGACGATTTTGACTGCCTAACTCTCGCAGAATCAAAATGTAAAAAAGTCCGTAACTTTGTTCAGGGAGTCGCACAGCAGATAATGAACATAGATTCAGAATCAGCGTTCCAAGACGCACCTACTGATATACATCTCATTGCAAAAGGGCACGGTCACCAAGTATCCTTCCCTCGTAAGATGCGAAAATTTCCGGAAGTTTTTCTCCGAGTTTACCAAGAGAAACTGTCGAAATTGATTGCTCTACATTAAAGCTTTGCTTTATTTAAACATTGCCCAGTGATTCAGAAAATCGTAGAAATGAGAATGGCAAAGTTATAGATAAGTAAAAGTGAGTTGTTGTTCCTTATGGGCAGTGGCTGGGCAGAATCTTTTTAAGAAATTTCCGCTTACCTGGGGTTATCCGAGGCGCTGATGCCAAAAATCCATGTTAGAAAGCTTGAAAGTGACGAGAAACGATCTTTTTCCAAGGCCTTTCTTTTTGAGTGTGGACGAGTAGTACCGCGCCAGAGACGCAGAGTCGGTGCAGGACCCTTTTGATATAACATTGTGGCGTGCCGCCTCTAACGGTGGGAGGTAAATCGCGAGCTCGTCCGAGCGCATGTAAGAAGGGCTTACGCGCACGGATTTCGGAGCAATTTTTTTGGTAGGGAAGGCAAAATGTGCGACCGGAATTGCTCTGCTTTTATAGTGGGGGGGGGGGGGAGGGTGTAAGCAACCTACTGCATCAAAATTCCGGGTCTTCAGTTTTGCCGATCCACTGCCTTTATGTACAGGAATCCGTAGGTGGCGTATATTCTGGATTTTTCCCTCAATCAGAGACAAGCGGATTGTGCGTAGAATGAAGAATTGCTGAAGAACCTATATGTTATGTCCAGCGTCTATGTTACGGACATGACGCTGTCCGTAACATAGTCGCTAAATCTGATCTTTGAATTCAAACCTAAAAATATTAGCCTTAGGGCCGCATGCACTAACATCCCCGCGGGGAGGGGATCGCAGCTTAAAAGAAAGCTTTATATTTCAAAACTCCAGATACCTGGATTTCACGTTGTGTACCTGTCTGTAAGTATTCCTGCTACCCTTCACTATGAACATGTTGAAGAGGAGCGAGAAGCTGTACGAACCGCATTTTTCAGCTTTTGTATGATCCCTGATGATCCCCGGCGCTTTAAAGTCATTTTTCTTTCTTCGAAGTTAAAGTGCTAAGCATGTTGCTGGTAAGAACAAATGATGTTTTGAAGTCATGAAATTTTCGATGATCCACAGGTCGAAATTTGAGGTTACCGAAAATTCGACTTTTCAAAAACTCATTTGTTCTTATCAGCAACATGTTAGCACTGTTGGGTTAGATAATCTGCACAACTTTGGAAGGTTTTCGTTAACTTCGGAGAAGTAAAAATGACTTTAAAGAAAAGCACCGGGGATCATCAGGGATCATACAAAAACCGGAAGATGAGGTTCGTACAGCTTCTCGCTCCTGTTTAACATATTCATACTGAAGGATAGTAGGTTACGGATAGGTACACAACGTGAAATCCAGGTATCTGGCATAGGTGCGATGGGGTGATCGGGGGTCCCTCGAAAGTGAAGGGTGTCCCAGCTGATTTTGACCTCCAAAAGTGAAGGGTGTCTGGAAAGTGCCGGCGTCGACCGGGGGGGGGGTTGAAAAAATGGTGAAAATTATAAAATTATCCAGTTTGAATGGTCAAATTCTCTAAACTGGATTTGTATGAAATATAATTAGTGAAATGTTCATAAGTACTTTGTTTTGAAATTATATAAATATTATTCCATTTTCATACACCATTTTTCGGTGAGAAGATGCATGTTTAGGTGGGTGGAACGTGTAATGTTGTAAATGTGATTTCGACCGAAAATTACAATGGACAATGGCAGATACTCGAGGCTTGGAAGCTGAATGAAGTTTTACCTGTATAAATTTGGATAATATTAATAAGAGACTCCGCGATGATTAGGAATTATTGTTGCAAATAAATCCGTAAGTCGGTATCTATGGAGTACAATAAAAAAATTTGTTGCTCAATTGTGTCCACTTTAAGCAGAATAAACATACACAGTGTAGCACAGTGATAAGACTAGTATAACTGATGTCAGGAGAAATTCCTAGGGCAGTAAAGTTGAAGCTACGATGTTGACGATAATTGAGCAAGGTCACTTTTTCTAATTTGTGTAACTTGCAGTAGATCGCTCTCTAGTATAACTCTTGTATAAATGGGCTAAAGCCAATTTTGAGCTAGATTCGGATTCTGGCCTTTAAAAGCTATACAACGATATATAATTTGTGAGGTGCAATATCTTTGCCAGGTGAGATAGTTTCCAGAGGTCCAACGGTACCCCCCCCCCCCCTCCACGTCAGAGCTCCATATCTCCAAAGAGATTCCATGGGAGCGACTGATTCCCAAATTTACCTCTGTTTTTCAAGCGCCTTTTATTTCTTGCTGTAACTCTCCTTCAGTATATCCGATCTTTCTGCGAGGGTATAGGTAAGACTCAGTAAACCTCCCTCTGTAAGACGCATAAAAAATTGAAGCATGAAATGCCCCCGTCGCCAAGATATGAAGCTGCAAAAAAACCATCAAAAATCGATTTTTTTAATATAACTCTTATATAAGTAATTAATTCAAAACGGGAATAGTGTAGGTAGATTCGTCTCCTCAAGAGCTTTCGAATGATATATAACATGTGGGGGTCTACTGCTTCCGGGTTGCGGGAAGGGGGGTGATCGCTCTCAGTTCAGGGCGATCATCTGGCGGCGCCTCTCCAATGCATTAAGGTGGCGGGGGGTGATCACCCTGAACTGAGGCCGATCACCCCCCCCCTCGCAGAGCTTAAAAATATAGGACCCCCACATGCTATATATCATACGAGAGCTCTTGATGAGTACAATCTACCTATACCGATTTTCGCTCTATTTGCGAATTCATAACTCTAAGAGGAATACTTTTTAGGATCTACTTTTTTTCTATGTGATAGAGGAAAGGTTCCTTATTAACGCCTATACTCTCGCAAGATGAAATTCTGCAACTTACTCAAGTTATACTGACTCAAAAACTGACTTTTCTCAAATTTGGCCAACATTGTGACTGCAACTGTGCTGCCCTAAAAATTTCTCCTGACACCATTTGTACTAATTTTATCATTGTTCTGGACTCTATATCTTTATCTACTTTGAGCGAACACAAATGAACACCATTCTTTTATTGTACTACATAAATATCGACATAAAATTTTATTTGCAAAAAAATAAAACATGATCAATGCAAGGTCTTTTATTAACATCATCCACATCAATATTCTCCAGGTAAATCTGTCGTCCATCAGCGCCTTTCAGGCCTCCAAAGTAACTGCCATTGTCCGCCGCCCATGTTATTGTCGGTCGAGATCATTTTTATAAGAGCTGCGTTCGATCCTTCTGAAAATGCATTTGTTCATTGATATTTTTGTAATTGTGCAGTAATTTCTCACCTTCAAAAAAAATTTTCGTCCGTCAGGTGAAGGGGGGGGGTGGTCCGGCCTCCAAAGTGAAGGGGGGGGGTGAGCATTTGCTCACCCCATCGCACCTATGGTATCTGGAGTTTCGAAATACAAAGCTTTCTTTTGAGCTGCGATCCCCTCCCCAGTGGGGAGGTTAGTGCATGCGGCCCTTAGTGTTGAACGCAAAAGCTTAGCAGCGACAACTACATCATACCATTTGTACCGTACATGACCAGCTCGACCAGAAACTTTTGCGTCCTGTGCTTTTTTGTGACGTACATAAAAGCTCATTGTGAGTTGGTTTCAGCCAATCTTCTGATGAACCGACGTCGTGTTTTGGATATTTATAGACAGCTATACCACATAGGAAAAGAATATCCGAAGGGAAGCGAGTGGTTTCATAGCAGACTGAAAACGGCTTTTCTCATGAATAAGGTAAGAAGATGTAATCTAGTTTGCACAATAAGACAAAAAGTAGAACTAACCGGCAATGCGAGACCAAAAATTCTCGGAGTCAAAAAATGTAGATGTGATTTTACTTGACACGTTTCGAACTGGTGCTGCACATTCTGAATCATCGAGTTTTTCTATCAGCACAGTCTTCTGCCCGACATACCTTTCTGGTGATGCGCCACGTTTTCGTTCGGAGGTTGCAAATCGTTGGGGCGTTGACTTTGCTTGCTTCAGATCCTACCCGCGGTTCATTTTTAAGCTGGGGAAATTGCATTCAAGGAAATTCGGTTTGTTGCATAGCAAAGGAAAATATGAGAGCTGTTTATGAAACGTACTTTAACTATTTCGAAGAACGGATACCCTCCGTGTATGGTTATGGTAGCAAGGTAGACGGCACGTGTGTCAAAATCGCAGATCTGGCAAATTTTTGGTGCCCTGATCATGAATGTCTTATAAATTTTTTTGGCAAGCGTGGTTTTCTAATGTTGTAGTGGGTTAGTGTACAGTCCGCTCCAAATGGGATCAGGCCGAAGCGTCGACGTAAATTTTCGCGCTCGCAGCGCTAGCGGTCTGCGCTGCATATGCGCGCTGACGGAGAGAGCCAAAGGATTGAAGAGAGAACAGAGAAGCAGACCGTGGGCGTGACCGCGAAACCCGAGCGACGCGGACTCCCGCCATGCCAATTTTGGCCTGGTTAGGATTGGGGGAGACTGTAGCCTAGGATCGGATCAAGACTCAAATCTGGTCAAAATCATAGTGCGGTCACTCAGTGTTACCCCAAAATTGGGATAGTGCGGTGCGGATTTCCACAGATCTTGTTAGAGGCCCCCGAACAGGCGACCACTCCAAGTCCGACTCAATTAACGCCCTCCTACACCGATTGGTGAGACACTGCCTTGCAGTCGCGCAAAAGACTCTTCCAATCAAAACCGATATAATAACTGTGATCGCTGAAGAACTCTTCACACGAATTTTGACAAGTGTGAGATTTTACCCACAAGGAAATGGTCAGAAGTCGAAGTGGCCAAACCGAACAAGCTGTATACCATTCGATGCAGTATAAAACGCTGACTTCGAATCTGTCTTTTTTATCTGCTTCCCGCTTCTGTGGACGAAGCTACAAGAGGTTTTATTGTGAAAAAATCACACATAAATACAGCGAAATTGAGCACACTGTTGCACTTTTAGCTCAGCTTCTTTCTTCAAAAATTCGAAGTAGGCTAGCTGCATGTTTTGGCCCAGCATTAAGACTAACGTGGCTCACCACGGCTAAATTTTCATATTCACGCGTAATTTCTTAGCAAAACAATGGTCTTTAATGGCTTGTAGCTTCGTCCACAGAAGCGGGAAGCAGATAAGAAAGACAGATTCGAAGTCAGCGTTTCATACTGCATCGAATGGTATACAGCTTGTTTGGTTTGGCCACTTCGACTTCTGACCATTCCCTTGTCAGCTACTATATATGAACCTCAAAAAACAGAAAGGCGCTTTTGTGCGATTAGTGTGATAATCGTGATCATCATGTCGGAAGGCCATGGATTAAGTTTGAGAGAAATCCATGTTTTTGTAAATTAGGGGCCCAAATTTTGGGGTAGCCAAATAGCTTCCGCTTTTATACAAAACCAGCTGGCTTGCCCGGCTCCGCTCGGCCCTGTCAAAACACTATGATAAAGCTCTCATTCGTATCCTTGTACAGCATTTTCCTCTACCCAATTCTACATGCCAGTTCCCTATCCCCGCTGTGTTAGTTATCAGCATGCTCACTTAGCCTATGTCCATTCCCAGCCCGTAGCTCGAATTTTGCCAAAAACGATAGCAAAGTAATGAATGATTTTGGAAACTGATATTGTATTCGATCCGGATCTGTTCAGAGATTCAATTTTCTGTTTGGAACATACCTACACACAGATAGACAGACAGAATTATACAGTCGAGTAGATTTAGCGGTAAATATAGTGTGCTTGCACAGAAGGTGAAATGCGGTGAAATTTGCGCGTGAACAAGTATCGTCCTTTCACCCCGTTGTAGGGGCCCGCAGCCTCAGACGCTCTCCCGCGAAGCGGTTTTGACCGCGGCGCAGGGTCGATACGGCTGATCAGCTGTCCATCCGTCCGCTACCACGAGAGTAGGTGAGTTTTTGATAATTTCGTTATCTTTCTGCTTGCAGGTTGCAACAAAAGGTTGGAAGGGAGTCGAGAAAGTCTGTTAACTTTATATATAAGTGAATTGTTCGCTGAAAAAGCTGACTATCCAATCTAAGCGCAATGTCAGCCAGTTTTTGAAATTTTCGTTCATGTAATCAAGATATCACTCATAAATAAACTTGGAGGCTTTTCCAGCTTATCTTCCATCCTTCTGTTGCAACCTGTAAGCAAAAAGATACAAACATTATCCAAAACTCATCAATTCCTGTGGCAGCGGACGAATGAACAGCTGATCAACCGTATCGACCTTGCGCCGCGGTCAAGACCGCTTCGCGGGAGAGCGTCTGAGGCTGCGTGCCCGCTACAACTGGGTGAAAGGACGATAGCCACGTCAGTACCGCGGGTATCTTGCGCGCGCAATTGGCCGGCGTCACAATCGAAACTATTTCTTCACGCGTCAATTTTACCGCATTTCACCTTCTGTGCAAGCATACTATATTTACCGCTAAATCTACTCGACTGTACATTCAGCTTCATGTTTAATTACTCGCGGAGAAATATCACAACCGAAATGCAAGATGATAGACATACAATGGACTTGTAACTGTTTTTTTATGAATCCCGATGCGATGAAATTGCATGAACTCTGCCCAAGGTCTTACACATAACTCGAATGCGAAGAAAATGCAAAGAATATGAAACTTACACTCGAACTTACCAGAGAACTTCTTCCTAGCCACAGTATATCCTGCATCAGACTGTGTGAGAACCAAATTCTCTTCATGCATTTTGTTGGGCCTCTCTATACACAAAGCAAATAAACCACGAAAACTATAGTGAAAAGTAGTATAGAATGACAATAGCAGCCGCTTGATCTGATGGGAAATTACTCCCAATATGATATTCCATGCTCGACCATCCTTGAATCTTGGCATTTTATGTTCAATAATTAGTGCCCAGTAAGTAGTAAGCGTTCCCAAAATTGTTATCGATTTATCAAAAGAACGACATCAGCACATTAGTAAACAGGTCGACGTTTCGGCAGGGTCGCCTTTTTCAAGACCTGGGAAGTGAGTCAATGAATTCGACGCTCCAAGGGTAGACATACCTTCAGGGATACACTTCAAGTGGCTGTCCACCACTCTGACACTTAGTCAGACCACTATATGCTAATTCTTGTGATGGAATGAGGTTCCCTTTTAAGGTCAGACTCAAATCCACACAATGATAAAAATGGGACGAGTTCACTACTGGTAGCCATTTCCTCTTCCTTTCTGTAAAGTTTGGGACATTTGGACGTGATCCAACAAGCCTCTATAGTTTTTCGTGCTGCAGTGTCGGTATCTTTCGAAAGGATAGCAATGTTAATTTGAAACTTTATGTTCTGATGGCAAAGCACGCGATGTGCGCCGAGAGGCCTGGACACTCGCGATTTTCTTATTCCGTCCAAGTGCTCGTTAATTCGTACATACAGAATGAGAAAATGAGAAAATGAAAGGAATGAGAAAATCGCGGGTGTCCACGCCTCTCGGCGCACATCGTGTGCTTTGCCATCAGAACATAGAGTTTCAAATTAACATTGCTATCCTTTCGAAAGAAACCGACATTGCAGCACGAAAAACTATAGAGGCTTGTTAGATCACGTCCAAATGTCCCAAACTCAACAGAAAGGAAGAGAAAATGGCTATCAGTAGTAAGCTCGTCCCATTTTTATCATTGTGTGGATTTGAGTCTGACCTCAAAAGGGAACCTCATTCCATCATAAGAGTTAGCATATAGTGGTCTGACTAAGGGCCGCATGCACTAACATTTCCGCTGGGGAGGGGATCGCAGCTTCAGAAGAAATCTTCATATCCTGAAGCTCCGGATATCTGATTTCACGCTGTCTACCTATCCGTAAGTACTCCCACCATCCTTCACTATGAACATATTGTGCAGGAGCGAGAAGCTGTACAAGCCGCATTTCCCAGCTTTTTGTAGGATCCCCTGAGGATCCCTGGGGGACGAACATCTATTCTTCAAAGTTTTTTCTTTCTCCGAAGTTAACGAAAGCCTTCCAGAGTTGTACTAAACATCTAACACAACAGTGCTAAGCATGTTGCTGATGAGAACAAATGAATTTTTGAAAAATCGAATTTTTTGGTAAACCCCAAATTTCGACCTGTGGATCATCGAAAATTTCATGACTTCAAAACATCATTTGTTCTTATCAGCAACATGCTTAGCACTGTTGGGTTAGATAATCTGCACAACGTAGGTCGATAGATATTTGCAACTCTATTCGTTCTAATGCTAAGTTGAAACTACGTCGGAAATTCAGTACACTGATAGAGCAGAAACAACAGAGATTGCAGTCATCGGTTAGTGCATGCAGTCTTAGCCAAAATCATCCAAGTTCTAGTACCACCTCTCAAGTGTTGCAAAGCGCGCTTTCCTCCCCTCGTGTGTCTGTTCTTGGCAATGTATCTCTTTCCGCAGACGAACTGTCTGTCTTGGATATGGGACCCAGTTTTGCTCCTACGCAATCAATAAGTCCTAGGTTAGTGCGTAAAATTGTTGGCAGCCTGCAACTGGTTCATGACCGCCTGAGACAGAGAGGTAGAAAAGATAGCGAAGAACTGAGTCGGCCAAACGTTATGACAATTGCGGACGCTAGTTTACCTACTATTCCATTCCCTTCGCTAACATACAAGCCAGAGCCTAACCCGGTCATGGACACCAAATTCCGCCTATTTGCAACGTCGCTTTTCGCAAAAATCACGCGGTACTCGCAAAAATCCTTGCCTCGCAATTTGACGCCCACTCAAATCAGAGTTTTACGTGATCTGCGAGACCGGT